TTCTTCTTCTTCTTCTTCTTCTTCTTCTTCTTCTTCTTCTTCTTCTTCTTCTTTACTTAGCGGATGGATCGAATCCCAGTTTGGGCATTCTGGAACTTGGGTTGTTTTGTAGAATTTTCAAGTCTCTGAACCCATTTGACTCTGTCCATTCTAAGGTGGACGCTAAATATAAAGCTTTTGCCTCTTACATAACGTGATAGTGTTGATAAGTGCGTTAAACCCGTAAACATACCTTATTATTTTACCACACAGGTAGGAAGACTGGCGAACCTCTGTTGTTGTAGGCCTAATGATGAGGCTCTTTGCTCATAACTAACCAAAGCCCTAGCACAAATACGACAATTAAGCACCTTTGTTGCCTGCGAAGTATGACGTCACTTATAGTGAATAGCCTGGAGTTCACGAGATGAACGAGATGTTGTTGTTGTTGTGCTTTTGTGGTTTTTGTTGTTGTTATTGTTATGATGATGATGATGCTGCTGCTGCTGCTGCTGATGATGATGATGATGATGATGATGATGATGATGATTATGATGATGATGATGATAACGACGATGACGACAACAACGACGATGGTGATTTCACACATATTACGTAAGCGTATTAACATATACTGCTCTCAAACAGGAAACAGTGTGCTCTACAACTGGACCATCAGTGACGGCTTTGAAGACCTGATGTCCACGAACCAGAACTTGGTGCACACGTTCACGACTCCCGGCACCTACTACGTGAACGCCACAGTGTACAACGCTGTCAGTAGCAAGAATAACGTTACGGAAGTTTTTGTGCAGGATCCCGTCACAGGCCTGTCTGTCACGGCCCTACCCAAAGGTATAGTATTTCTCGGACAAGGGCGAAACATCTCGGAGGGCCCGTGTGCAAGTCGCGCACGTTAAAGATCCTTTGGTAGTCTAAAATCGATAAGAATAGGCTTCGGCCGCCACCGGGGCAAAATTCAAAATTTCCTACCCACTGAAAAAGTTTAATGTGTCCCGCGCGCTCATATGACCTTATACAGTTGCGAGCGCCGTAAAACACCTACCAAAACAACAACAAAAAAGGTATAGCATAGTTTTAGTAGTAAGATTTTACGGCGCTCGCAAGTGTATAAGGTCATAAATGAGCGCCAAGGGGTGGATGCCAACGGAGAAGTCCAGACGGGGAATAAGGCTTACTCTGCTCACCTCTTTAGCATCAGCAGAAGAAAGTCTGCTTCGACTATCAAGGCACCCGGAAATAGCACTTCACAAGAGAGTGACAAACATAAAAAAGAAGTAGAGGGAAAATGATGATAGTAAGGATGAGGAAAAAAAAATAATTTAAAAATTGGGGGACGTCAAAAGCTTGAGAGTCCTTTGCAACTGCAAATGTACATTTTGTGTCCTTCTGATCAAAGTTTTTCAATACATTTCCCTCACGAAGGCGTTCTTAAATGGTATAAAAGGTCTTTGAGTCCCCCACCCCTCAAAAACAAAACAAAACCAACCGAAAAAGAAAAAGACAAAATCGATAAAAACTGCCCATCGGCGGGAAAACATTCAGTTTATTCAATTTTATTATTTTGATGAGCGCTTGATTTCAAAACAGTCCCAGACATTTTAATTTCAACAATACAGTCAGTGAAAAGAGCACAAAACTATTTTGCATGTTTTCTCAATACCTAGTCGTGTGTGTGCGTCTGTGTATGTAAATGGATTTGTGTGTGTGTGTGTGTATGTATGTGTGAGCGCGTGTGTGTGTGCGTGTGTGTGTGTGTGTGTGTGTGTGTGTGTGTGTGTGTATGTGTGAATGTTGGCGTGTGCGTGTGAGTGTGCGTATGCGTGTGCTTGTGAGTGTGCATTTGCGTGTGCGTGCATGTATTTATCATGTCACAGTACATTTTTTTGTTTGGAGATCAATATTATCTTATCTTATTTTATCTTTATCTTATTTTATCTTATCTTATCTTATCTTTTCTTATGTTATCTTCTTTTCTTGTTTTTTCTTCATTGAGTTCTCTTACACCACTTTCAGTGGCGATGAATTCTAAACCTGAGCCATAGACTTCTACATTTTGTGCTCTCAACCGGCGTCCGTGGTATAGCGGTTAGGCATTTCGTTGTCGCACTCAGGAGAATCAAGCTCGATTCTCGGGTGGGGAGAAAACTTAAACTTCTCTGGAGTAGTATCTCAGTCTTTCAGCTGGGATGTTACATTCTTCTCTTCCAGAGTTGACCCTGTTAAATTGTGTTGATAGGGGCACAAAATAACTACATTAAAAAGGCCATGTCTTTGAAAAAACGGTTGCCCCCCCTCTCTCTCTGTTTCTCTCTGTCTGTCTGTCTGTCTCTCTGTCTGTCTGTCTGTCTCTCTCTCTCTCTCTCTCTCTCTCTCTCTCTCTCTCTCTCTCTTTCTTTTTCTCTCTCTGCCTATGTCTCTGTCTGTCCGTCTGTCTGCTCTGCCCCCCCCCCCTCTCTCACTCTGTCTTTCTTTTTTTAGTAGTAGATTCTATAACTTTAATTTCATCATATTTTTCTTTGTGTCTCCAGTACTGGGCACAAACTCCGATTTCGCGACTACACTTTCGACTGGCTCCGACTACAATTGTTCCTGGAACTTTGACGACGCCACGCCCACAGAGTACACCAGTGAAGTCTCCGGCACCACTCTCGGGGCCAGTTCTTACGCGTGAGTTACTCTTTATTGTATTTTAGGGTATTCCGTTAGTTCAGTTTTTAAAGAGGAGGGATACCATCCAATAGGGATAGGTGAGGCTAATTAACCCTATCGGTACATTGTGTTTTACTATCGTATCCATACGACGTGGGGAACTCTGTGCCACCACTTTCCAAAGAGGAAATTTACTCGTTAATCCGATCCGTACGTTTTGCATAGCAGTCTGTCAAAATGCTTTTTTTTAGAAATACCGAACGTTTCAAAGAGATCTTTGCACTAGAAGTATTCTAAAATGTGAAGAATACAACCCCGGGGGTACAAAATGACCCCAGGGCGAACGATCAGGGTTAAAGCCTCCTCAGCTTTTGTAGTATTTGCCCTGCTTTGTACTCGAGAACAAGGCCGACGCGTTGGGAACAGATACGATACATCGATTTTAGCCAAAAGGCTGTGAAGCGACCTTTAGTTCAGTTGGCATCATTCTAGACTTACTGGTCTGATGGCTTTAGCTCTAATCTATCACTTGGAGCTTTTAAACTCGGGTCGATTCTGGAGTTTTTGCGACTTTCAACCCTTTTGGATCGGCCCAATCGAAGATAGACTGAAATTCGGATGTTCTGCCTCTTAAATAAACTACAAGTGTTGATATGAGCGCTAAGCCCATGCATACGCATATACAAGAATGATTTTTTCTCTATCTCATTGTTTTGTTATTACATGTACTTCTTTCTTATGAAAAATTATTTTTTAAAAGTACTACCTCACTTTCTTACTCGTGAGTTACACTTTACTTGACCTGATATCGTACGCTAAACCAGACATGCTTTCCCCCCTTTTTTTGCTGTTTTGTTATTACCTCTGTTTTACGAACAAGTTTCTTTACCCCTCTCCTCGTTTTTATTGTAACTTAAATTTTATTTGACCCGATAGCGCACACTGAAACAATAATGACTTTTCTCCCCCCCCCCCCTCTTTTGTTTTTTTTTTCTTTTTCCCCCTCATTTGCTTTTTCGGCTTAATTTTTTTTAGCCTAAAAGAATTGTTCGCCCCCCCCCCCCCCCATGAGGGAAGGGGGGGGGGGGGGGGGGGAGCTGCAGGATAGATATCTTGGGTTTTAATTGAATACTTATATGATCTAACAGGATATTCTGCATTTTTTCAATGTACCTATTTTGGTATTGGAATCATCATCTCCCTTAAATTGACAAATTTAATTTTACCAACTTCTGTTATCACACTATACTGTGGTTATACGTGTTTATTTATTCATGAGAACAAAAGTGTAAAGAACATTCCTTGGCACAAGAAATTAATAAAGCGACATAAGTAAAGAAAAAAGAAAAAAAAGAAAAAACCCCCAAACCTACCGCATCATTCTGTGCATCATAACGACAATTTAGGGAAATGAATAAATCAACGATGCTTTTCTGTGAACACGAAACGAACAAACCGATAATGTAAACATGAAGGAACCGACGGTGAAGAAATGAATAAAACAACAACACAAACATGAATAAATCGTTAATGTAAAAAGTTGATAAACTAACAATGTAAATGTGGATACACTGAAAATGTACCCCCCCCCAAACAAAAACAACCCCCCCCCAAAAAAACAACAACAAACAAACAACAGCTAATAAACAAACAAAAACAACAACAGCAAAAACAAAAACAACAATAACAACAAGCTAAACCATATTGTTACAAAAAAGAATAAACGGACAATGTAAACACACAAAAAAGCCCAACAACAACAACAACAACAACTAACAAACAAACTAACATTACTACATAATTGTAGAAAAAAATAAACTGACATTGTAAAGAATACGTACACCGACAAAGTGACAAAACGAGTAAACGACCAATGTCTTTCTTTATCCCATCCCCCCTCTCTTTCTCTCTCCAGTCACATGTACAGCGCCGGTGGGTCGTACAACGTAACGGTCAACTGCTCAAACGGCGTGAGCTCGGAGGCGGTCTCTGTGATGGCGGTTGTGCAAGAACTGATCACCAACCTACGTATGGTCAAGGAAGGGGCCAGCAAAAACACGGACTACTACCTGGAGTGGACCGTAGATGCTGGCACGGAGATTACATTTAACCTCACGTTTGATGGCAGTTTGATTCCGAGTAAGTCTTCGCTGTAAAAAACACGCTAATTGATTGTCATCAAGTCATGTCATGTTTGTAACAGATATCGGCTGCTGTGGTGAATTATTCCATTTAATTTTTTTTGCTCGGATTCTCCTAAAACCCCCCAACAAAGATAGACCCCCCCCCCCCAAAAAAAAAGCAAACAAGCAACCCCCCCCCCCCCAACAACAACTATATTATCTTGGCCTTTTATCGTCACCCATCTGTTCAAGAGTAGTCGTTATACTCCATATTATTATCAGCACCCTGTGCTCTATCTTCACTTCGTTCTATGTCCACTTTGTTCAGTGTTCATCTTGTTCTATGTTCACTTTGTTCTATGTTCACAGTATGAAACTCTTTGTTCTATGTTCTGAGCCTTTTTTGTTCTCTGTTCTATTTGGTTTATGTTCTCAACACATTGTGTCCTGTGGTCCTAATATTCCACGTTCTCAGCTCACTGCCTTCTATATTCACTCTGTTCTATTTTCTCAGCCCATTGTGTTCTGTGTAGACTGTTCTACGTTCTCATCCTGTTGTGTTCTATTGTCCCTATATTCCACTTTTTCAGCCCATTGTGCCCTGTGTCACTCTGCTCTATGTTCTATAAACCCATTGTGTTCTATGTGCACTTTGTTCTACGAGTGTGTTCTCAACCACCCATTGTGTTCTATACTCATTCTGCTCTATATTCTCAGCCTACACTACTGTCTCTAAGTACAAGTGGAGGTCTCCACTCCAGCCGGCTCGGGGAGCCAGCAGCATACCCTTGACCCTTTCAGCCGCCAATGAAGTAGGCTCTGACAGCATCAGCATCAACTTTGAGATCCTGTCCGTCATTGTGGATCCTACTCTCACCACGCCCGAATTCAACGTGTCCAGGTGACTGCGAACGAGTGCTGAGATACTGATAATAAATAAACCGAAAGTGTAAATAATAAATAAACCGACAATTTAAAGAATTTATAAAGCGACAATGTAAGGGATGATGAACATGTAAGGGACAAATAAACTGACAGTGTAAGGGATGAATAAAGAGACAAAATAAGTAATGAATAATTCGACAAAGTAAAGAATTAATAAACTAACAAAGTAAGGTATGAATAAACCGACAAATAAGGAATGAATAAGCCGACTATGTCAAGGAATTTATAAACCGACAGTGTAAACAATTTATCAACCGACAATGAAAAGAATGAATAAACCGGCAATGTGTAAATAATTTATAAACAGACAATATAAAGGATGAATAAACAGACTTTACAAGGGATAAAATAACCAACAATGTAAAGAATATATGTAAGGCATGAATAAACCAACAATGTAAGTAATTTATAAACCGACAATGGAAGGAATGAATAAACCAACTGTGCAAAAGATAAATAAATCGACAATGTAAAGAATTTATAAACCGACAATGTAAGAGGTGAATAAACCGACTATGTAAGGGATGAATAAACGACAATGTAAAGAATTTATAAACCGACAATGTAAAGGATGAATAAACCGACTATGTCAAGAATGAATAAACCGCAAATGCAGAGAATGCACTAACTATAATTATTACTGAAATGTTACTGAGATCACGAAATGTGATTAGTATGGCATTTTTTTTTCTTGCAGCTAAACTGTCTTTGGAAACGATCATCGTGCTTAGGGCTCTTATATCACGAAAGGAACGAGAAAGTTTTATGTTGTGTATATGCGCCAGTCATAATTTAAATGAATGAATGAATAAATAAATACATAAATAAATAAATAAATAAATAAATAAATAAATAAATAAATAAATATATGAATGAGCGAATGAATGAATGCATGAATGAATAGATAAGTGAATAAATAAATAAATAAATAAATAAATAAATAAATAAATAAATAAATAAATAAATAAATAAATATAATCAGCCAAGTATGTTACAGAAAATGTTTCTTAGTCATATGCTCACAGTACAGAGAGCGAAAATATCAACATCTATTCTTTCCTGAAAGATTGCTAGTGACAACCATTAGGTTTTCTGGCCAAGAGACTGACGAGCTCACAAATTTAAAAAAAATTCATTGTACCAGTTTTTTTCTGCTGTAACTGGTATGGTTGTTTGCTGCTGCTTGTAGAAGACACGAGTTTTGTTCAAGCGTGGAAATAGCTTCTTTGTCTGTGCGCGCGAGGACATTGTTTCATCCTCAGGTCAGGCATGGTCGAAAAGCTCGCCTCCTAAATGAAAATAGCCATATTGTGTGACGACGCAGTTGAAACAGGCGCTCGTCGATTCTTGAGTCTATGGAGTTATCGGTAGCATCTTAAAGCTTGTTCGTTTGTCTTGCTTTTGGATAAAGAAAATAACTCTGTCTTGTAAAAATGGATATATTTGCCACTGAAAGAGGTTGAGGTCGCCTAGTGTCAGAGGACAAATTAGGGACTCAAAGATTGTGTATCCGTGCAAAGTGCACATTTACACTGTTTTGTGCGTTTGATCAACGTTTTTCCAGTTAGAGCCACACAGAAATGTGTTTTTGAGTGAGCATGTATAGAACTGAGCTCCCGAAAAAGTAAAATAAATAAATAAAGGAATAAAAACCAATAAAAGTTTCCCAGCGGGCAGAAAAATGTCTGTTTCTTCGAGTTCATTATTTTGACAAGCGCCTGATTTCCCAACACGTAATTGGTGCCGACGAGTGCAAAAACTGTCGTGTGCAGAGGTGAAGAGAAGCGCAGACTATGCCCTATTAATTCTAGCCCAATAATAATAAGAACAATAGTAATACAAATAATAATACTTGTAATAATAATAATAATAATAATAATAATAATAATAATAATAATAATAATAATAATAATAATAATAATAACAATGATAATGATGATAATGATGATAATAATAATAATAATGATAATAATAATAGCAATAACAACAACAACAACAACAACAATAATAATAACAATAATAATAACAACAACAACAACAACAACAATAATAATATAATAATAATAATAATAATAATAATAATAATAATAATAATAATAATAATAATAATAAAGATAATAATGATAACAATAGTAATCGAAAATTGCATTTCAATGGTCTTCACGTTTTTCTTTCAGCCACACCCCTGTCCCTTTCACCGTTGACATGGCAGGAGGCTCCGGAGTCACAGTACACTTCGACTTCGGAGACGGCCAAACTGACGTCTTCACGCAGACACCGGGCCAAGAGTGGTCGACCCCTCACACGGCGTCCCACAGCTTTACTGCTGGAGGAAGATTCAACGTTCTCGCGTCCTTCTCCAACGCTGAAGGTTTCTGAACTTTGTACATTTATTTTGAATTATTTTATTGGTTTAATTTGAAGTCGAAATTGTTCAAGACAGCCTCCCACTGACTTGACCTGACCATTACTGATCTATTTATAAAAGCAACAGGTCCAGCTATCGGTGTCTAGACGCTGTTTTAGCCTCTTTCTCTTGTCTATGAGGCTAAAATAGCGCCTGGACATGGATGGCTGGTGCCTCAATAAATAAGTTATTGATGATGATGGTCTTGTCTGTGGTTAAACTATTATTTTTTACCAATTTGGTTCTACATGCATTCTCCCACTGTCTATCTATCTATCTATCTATCTATTATCTATCTATCTATCTAAATAGATAGACAAACACACACACATACACACACACACACACACACACACACACACACACACAGAGAGAGAGAGAGAGAGAGAGAGAGAGAGAGAGATAGCAAGATAGCTAAGCTAGCTGGCTAGATAGATAGATAAATAGATAGAGATGAGGAGGAGGCAGACAGACAGACAGACAGAAAACTCATTTTTTTCATTGCCCCTTTCTTCACCCGTACAGGAACATACAACTTGACAACAGAAGTCATGGTCCTCGTCAGTGTTGAATCCATAGCTTGCAATACCAGCCAGTATGCCCTCTACTATCCCCCTGCCAATGCCAGCCTCACTCTGTTCGGCACGACACTACCCACTGAACCAACGTTCACGCTGAACTGGGGCGAGCCACAAAGCCGCGACACCACGGTTTGTGTTGAACGACTTTCTTTCTTCTTCTTTTTTGAGTCCTCCAAGTTGATTATACTACTACTACTACTACTACTACTACTACTACTACTACTACTACTACTACTACCACTACTTCTACTATTTCTGCTGCTAATGATAATAGCAGTAATAATGAAGTTGCAACTGTCTAAGACGGCCACCCATTATCAAGGAAGGGTGATCGTTAGAGACAAATGGTCGTCTTACACAGTGTCATTATAATGTGAAAAATATGCAAGGTAAAAATGAGGAATGGCTGTTTGTTCAAGTGATTGCCTTATACAGGTTGCCGTTAGAGCAGGTTTGGATGTAATAATAATAATAATAATAATAATAATAATAATAATAATAATAATAATAATAATAATAATAATAGTAATAATAATACAATTGTATTTGTATAGAATATATCCACACATTATTACCCAAACAGACCTTAGAATACCCAAAAGCATTCTTGGCCTCCTGTGAGGCAGACAGTGCATGCTGCAGATTGCACGATCTGAAACATTAACAAACGGACAAGATCTTTCTCTGACTACAGCCAGGTACTAATTACGTTGTATCAACTTTTTTTTTAGTGTAGTGGTCAGGCACTTTGCTGTTGAACGCAGAAGACACGAGTTCGATTCATGTCTGGGGAGTAAGTCCAAGTTGACTCTAACAGGCACGGTCGAAACGCGGCTCCTAAATGATCTAAACTGTGTAGATCTATAAGGGGGAGTAAAAACAGCCACATAGAAATTATATTTTAGATGTTATAAACAGCATAATACTATTATCTCTCGCTCTTTTACTATCAACGCATGACGTACATTTGGAGTTAAAGAAAACCAAGACAGCGTAAGCAGTCAATAGAAACACAGTCGAAAAGAAAAAAACAGCAGTAGCTACTGATGGAACCCACAGGCTGTATGTTTATGACCCCACTTGAATAACTGTGAAATTAATTAATCTAATAAGAATGTACGCCTTTTTTTCTTTTGCGAAAATGCTTTCTTCTATAGCTTTTGGGTAAATTTTGCTCAGAAAAAGTGGACCTCCACTCTCAGAATTTACAAATTAATCTTTTCCTCAAAACTAGATCCCATCTTTTTTCCACCAAAAAACAAGGACAAAAATATCATCGTAAACAGACATAATGTATTGCATTTGTCCCTTATAATTTGGTGAAGATTTCCCGCAAACAGCCTTAACAAAATCTTGTTAAGCCATTTTCCTATGAGCAACCGAATAAAGGCAATGTTGCGGCACATTTCGAACCATCATACACACATTGTAATCATCAAAACACATTTTGTATAATAATATCTCATAGTATGCATGTTGCTGCCCGCTGGTTTGGGTTTCAGACACCGTAAAGAGAATTGAACAATATGAATAAATAAAGAGAATGTTTAAAAAAATAAACTGCCACCCCCCCCCCCCAAATAAAAATGAATAAATAAAATTGCACGTTTTCCAACGTTTCTGGATGCCCTGAAGTTGAAGGAGAGTCCCCCATTGAGTTAAGCTTCCTGGTATGTACTGGGACAAATTATAACCTTGTGTTGCGACGGGGTGGAATCAGTCATGCACTTGTAAGTTTTTGGGCATATAGAGTCATTGATACAACCGTAAAGCTTGCTCTTTTGCCTTGCTTTTGATAAATAATAAATTACTCATTTATTTCGAATAGAAGTCGGTTGAAGGAGGGTTGGGGGGGGGGGGGTCACCTAGTGTCAGAGGTTAAATATATTTGGCTAGAATGGGGCCCCCAAAGTTTGATGAACTCCAAAGCTTGAGAGTCCTTGCAACTACAAATTTACAATTTTTAATGTATTTCTTTAACGTTTTTCCAGTAAAATCCTTACAGAAAGGTGTTTTAAAATGGATATAAAAGAAGTTGAGGTAAAAAAAAGAAATGATATAAAGATTGTCAAACAGGTGTAGAAATATCGGTTTCTTCGATTTCATTATTTATTTATCGAGCGCCTGGTTTCACCACAATCCCACACATTTATTATTTTGTTTACTCTTTCTTTACCCCCCCCCCCACCCACCCCACAGCCGGAGCTTGTGCTGAACACGCCGTACTGGCACACCTTTGGAGACACTGGAGAGTTCGAGGTGACTGTGGAGCTGGCCAACTTGATGGGAGAAAAGACATGCAAAAATGTAAGAGACGCACATAAACATTCACGAGCTCGCTCTTAGAGATAGAGACAGAGGGACAGACAGACGGACAGAGAGATAGAGAGACAGGTTGACAGATAAACAGATTGATAGACAAACAGACAGATAGATAAAGAGAGAGATGAAGACAGACAGACATACATACTGACAGACAGACAGACAGACAGACCCACAAACACACACACACACATACACGCGCGCGATCGCACTCTGTCATATCTCTGTCTCGTTCTTTTTCTCGATCTCTCAGTCTGCCCCCCCCCTCCCCTCTCCCCCTCCCCCTCTCTCTCTTTCTCTCTCTCTTTCTCTCTCCTCCCCCCCCCCTCTCTCATTTTCTTGTTTTCTCAAGAACACTACTTGCCGAGACGTCAATGTGTCTGTTGATGGGGAATTTGTACTTGTTATTGGGCGGCGTTTGTAGTCTTGCAGTTGGGCTACTGGGTTTGATGATCGAAATTTATCTCGGGCTGATGTTGTATCCTAGAGAAAGGCACTTTGCACGAATTCTTTTCATGTGACTCGGTCCTACAGGAGATGGCCGTTAAATTTATCTTCTCTTACATAACCTTATCGTGGTTCAAGAGACATAAAACCTATAAAATTACGCACATTTTTTGTAAACTTCTTCTGAATTACCCAGGCACTTAGGGAAACGCAACATTGGTGTGCCTATTCACTAAAACACACAAATCTGTCTGTTTATTTGTCTGTCCGTCCGTCCATCTGTCCTCGGGGTGTTTCTGTCTGTCTGCTTGCCTGTCTGTCTGTCCGTCTAGCTCCCTCTTTTGTTCTCTCTCCCCTATCCCCCCTCCACTCTCTCTCTCTCTCGCTCTCTCTCTCTCTCTCTCTCTCTCTCTCTCTCTCTCTCTCTCTCTCTCTCTCTCTCTCTCTCTCTCTCTCCCTCTCTCTCTCTCTCGCTCTTCCTCAGACCGTTGTTTTGTTCGTTCCGAAGCCTCTTTGTCTTTTGCAAACATCATTTCAGATTTGAAAACAAACAAACAGAAAAAAAAATTTCTTACTATACTTAATGGGACAAACTTTCAACAAAATAAAGGAATGCATGTTTTACAATTCGATTTAGACTTTGGGGAGGGGTGGATTTCGGTAGATAAAAGAAACAGGCGAAGCTGTAAGAGGTACACCTCCAAACCTTTTGCCTGTGTGCGGTGAACCCTTCACTGTTCCTCAAGCACCAGCTTTAATTTCTTTTGTAATTATCATGTTTTTAGGAGACGGGACGTGGTAACTAAAAATAGGAAAGGCGTTGGGGACTGAAACAGTACGGGCGGTCAGGGGTGGTAAGGGGTAGTTCGTAAACAGAGGTTCAGGGTTTGGATCCGAACGGGGCTCTATAACACAAGTTTCGCTTGTCCTTACAGGAATAGTCTCTTCCCATTTGATCCGACATTCCACGTGTCTTTGCAACTAGCAATACCTGTTGTACTTATTGCGTCGTAATAGAAAATGAATCTTAACATCATCTTTTTTTCAAAGACCATCACGGTTGTCGAGAAGCTGGAAGGGCCGTCGTTCAAGCCGGAGTTCGCTAAGGCAGCAGTTGGACTGCCGTATGATGTCACGTTCTGCTTGTACCGGGGTCCGTCGGGAGCGCTTTGCAAATTGGACTATAACTTTGGCGATGGGAACACTAAACAGACCGACCGGCAGGGTAAGAACTAAAACTGTTAAAAATTGTGTAATTTGAGATGTCAGTCGGTTATGTTTTCAGTAAAGTACAGAAAAATGGGAAGACAAGAAGCTAACCCACGATATGGAAAGGTGAAAAGTGTTTGTTCGTGGCCTATACCCTGATCCAGGATGAGAAAGGCAATGATGATGATGATGGTGGTGTTTTCACTTAGTATAAGGTGTTGTCCTCTGTGGGTTGTGGGAATTTGTTATAATGTCGCCCATTTGTGAGATGGATAAAATGTGCGTATTTTTGTGTAGTAAGACAAGATTAGAGAAAACAAGAAAACTTAAAGGCAAAGCTGACAAACGGTTTTGTCTTTATGAAGAAACGAGATTGCAGCAAAATGAGGACAAAGCTTAACCTTTGCTGGCCCATGTGGTAAGTTGGGTCACGTTGATGAAAGTAAAATCATGTTCCAAGATTGACCAACGGCGACGATCTGCTGTCCTCGACTGCGGTTGGGTAAAGGACATCAAGAGAGAGATAGATAGATAGAGAGGGATAAATAGAGAGAGAGAGAGAAAGAGAGAGAGAGAGAGAGAGAGAGAGAGAGAGAGAGAGAGAGTGTGTGTGTCTGTGAGAGAGAGAGAGAGGGAGAGGGGAGAGAGAGAGGAGAGAGAGGGAGAGAGAGACAGAGAGAGAGAGAGAGAGAGAGAGAGAGAGAGAGAGAGAGAGAGAGAGAGAGAGAGAGAGAGACAGAGACAGAGCATTAACACCAGTGGGTTGGAGTGGTGAATAGTGTATGTCGTGTTGTTTGACTGCTTTTTCACACGTAATATAACATTCGCATCTTTTATCTGGGCCACAGCCAACGTTGCAAGTAAGTAACGGCACGTTTATGTATCTTCATTGTAGCTAGTTTACAATAATATTACTTTGTTTGGTATCAGAGAGCATAATCGTAGCATAACGTTATTACAAAACGGAATGGTACACATTATAATCACATCGTATCTATGCATTTATACCGGGAACATTAGATTCGTCAAATCGCCAGCTGAAAAATGTTTTGTACTAACTTCAAGTTCCAACTTTTCGGACAAATTGGTCACAGCTGTCACAGATATTGAAAAAATAATCTTCCGTTTGAGCTTAAAATTATTAGTTTAAGCCTATTGTTCCCTTTTCGTGCTATTTCAGTTTCATTTTGTACCAACCCCCGTTTTTGCGACTCGGATTTTTTGCTTTCAAAGTGATTGATTAATTTCTTAAAATTGACCTAGCACTTGACGGACTACGCTGGCGAAATAATGTTGATGTGTATTGCGCGCAGTGATGGATCATAACAATATAGTGCTTTATTTTCAGTTTTGTCTAGAATGAGTTTCATCAATGGGAATATGTTCAATACTGATCAATATTCCTTGCTCCTTCGATACGTATAAAGAGAAAGCGGTTAAATAATGTTTTATCTGTTTTGTGTTCTGAACGTTGAGATATTGCATGTTGAAAAGGTAAAGCGATGTTATCACACCATAGTTGCAGAGAATCCCCTTTGAGATCATTATAGTTGCAGTTTCTTTCTTTCTTTTATTTCGAGTAGCTAGAGACATTCAAATATTTCAAGTGTCCCCGGCAAGTTTATGTTTCCCTTTAGCCTCCCATCCTATTAAATGTACTTTTTATTTCTTTGAGTAAATTCGATTTTTTTCAAAGGTCGCCTGGTATGATGACAGTCCTATTTCTACACTCGTCATGCATGTAATGTACCATTTTATTATAATAATGTTGAAGGGGGCGTTAAACATATCCCATTTCACCATTTTGACCATTTCATTAAGTACGATAAGCATTTTCATGATCGTGCGTATTTTTGTAAATCTGCTGTTTTCTTGAAAACTATTGTCAATTCTTCTTCTTCAGGTGTCAGGCCTGGAGCAAACATTGACGATCATGGTACTCTATTCCTTCCTGTTGTCTGTCTTCTTGATCAGCTCGGTTTTCTCTTTGTGTTAATGGTTGCAAAGTATTTCAGGCCATCCGTGTGTGTTGCTCTGTGTCTTTCTCTGCTCTTCTTTCCCTCTATCTTTTCACACAGCAGCAGTTTCTCTAGTCCTGTTTACGTGGCCAAAGAATATCAGTTCTCTTTTTTATGGCTCAGATTATGGATCATGCACATCCTGCCATTTTGAGCATTCTTCTATTTGTTTTTCTCTCTGTCCATGAGATTCTGAGTATTGTTCCTAAAATACAACATTTCAGCGGTCTCCAGTCTTCTCCTTGTGTATTGGTTTAGAGTCCAGCTCTCAGAACCACACGAAAGGATTTACCATTTGTGCGCTTTCAGGGTTCTTATTTTTGTGTTTACCGACATTGTCAATTATTGCTCCTATAAATGAACAAGCCCTTCCAATTAAGAGGTTAGATAGAAAATGGTGCTGGTTGAAGAGATGCTATATTCTTTTAAAATTCCCCTCTTTCCCTCCTATCCTCCTTTCTTTTCTCCTTCTCTTCTTTCTTTCCTTCCTTCTTTCCACTTGACATCACCTTTGATAATAAATTGTTATATGCATGTTGCTAATGACTGTTTTCGAATTGACAGCATGGAGTTTGACTTTTGATTGCAAAATTGTGCATTACTTTGAACTGATGCATGTGATGTTTGATGTACGAATTGTAGTTGCATCGGATGTACTGCAACTAGCTTAAAGATGCTATGATTACATCTGTGTTCTACATATCGTCGACATGCATGGAAAGTTGATTTTGACACAGATCTCTTACAAATTCCACGATTTCAAAGTTTTCTCTTTTCTTCGATGTTCACTCTGCAGAGGGTAAAATGAAATGGTGACAGCAACAAAATAATACAGGTTATAGTCTTTACCAAGCATGGTGACTACCCATATGGTGTAGAAAATAATGCAATAACTATAATGAGTACAATCTCCATTTTCTGAATACATAGCTCTAGCGTTATCTCTTCTATTTGTTCTTCATATTTTCTTGTCTTAGACTTGTAATTTCCAAGACTGAGAACTCGAACGTAATTCTGTTTCATCATGAAGTGCACTATTTGACTGGGTGGCGGGCTTTCTTATAATATTATTTTAATCCAAGTCTGTGGTTCTTGAAGAGTTGAAGCCAAACTGCACACTCCCATGGATGTCTGAATAGACGCATTTGAAAGATAAATCCAGAAAGCGTCCAATCGACGAGACCAAATTTGAGCTCGCGAGAGGGACGTCGGTGTGTCACCGCCCCCTCCCCCCCAACCCCCGTCACCGCCTTCATAATATTGTGGACCCAAGAAACTTTTTTCAAATTCAAACTGAAGGCTAGTGTAACCTACCAAGTTGCTATATTTTGTTTGAGTGCCATGCTCCTGATATGTGTGTCTTTAAAAAATTGCACTCATTTTTCTGGTGTATAAAACTGTTTGTTATTATACACCCGAATTCTGGGTGTATTATACCGTTTGTAATTCTACACCCAAAATTCAGGTGTACAATAAAATGTCCTTTTTTAGGGGGGGGGGGGCAGTGGTTAAAGAAATAGCCGACTTAACATAATGTGTGGTAATAAACACAAAGACGGCACATGAACAGGATGAAATAAATATCAGAATTGGCACACTATTCAAAACCATGAGGCAGCTAGAAGAGAGAGTTTAGCTGAAGCTAGAGTCTTGACACCAACACCAATATGAAAGCGAGACAAGCAACATTGTGTGCATGAGTGAGGCCGGAGTAGCGAATTCACCAATGAAAAACCCCCCAGCTCTTTGCTTTCACTTGCGATTCCTGAGAAATGGTATATTTTAATGGTATAGGTTTGACGCCTCTATCAACGCTTTTAGGATATTCAAGAGGCGGGGTCTCCGAGTTTAACGTCCATCTCCGAAAGGACCGAGCCAAATGGGAAATTTGTGTTATGTGTTTTTCCCAAGGACACAATGTCGGGCTGAGCTATGGCTTGAACCCCCAAACCCGCAATCTCACCATTACGGGTCTGGTAGCCTAACCACCCGGGCACCGACGCCACCAGATTCCGGAGGAAAATTCATGTAATAACATGGCAAGATAAAGATATCACAACAGGAAAGTTGAAAAGATCAGCAGTTTTTACAGTATTTCCCGTTCTTGTACTACATATTCTCGCTTGGTTAGGATGTTTATTCTTTGAAGACGGGAACATGCTGAAAGATCCTCTTGAAGAACAGAACAAGAGCAGAGAAGTTACGTTTGACTCTTCTAAGATACAACGTTGCCTGCAATAGAGAGCTGACCTCAGCTTACATCAACTATAGATCTTGGAAATGGGCAGCAGAGGATCGTAGCCACTTAAAGAGGCAAGACAATACCAGCCTGCAGATAAAAGAAAAAGACTGCAGCGAAAAGATATGTGCAACATCCGAAAAGACGCAAGAGGGAAAAGAGTTCAGAACATCAATTCTTCTCTTGCTGTCACAGCACTGTTAATTTTCTCTGTATGTCATGTGTCATCAGCACTCCAAAATGTTTGAATCGTTTAATGTGTTTAATGTTTTTAATCTGTGCCGTTACATGTTACCGATTACTTTTCAGATTTTTTTTCTGTTTGAATAAGGTTCCTAATACATCTAAAGAATCTGTATAGGCTTTTGTGTCAGATAGATAGATAGATAGATAGATAGATAGATATATAGATAGGTAGATAGATAGATAACTAGATAGATAGTAAGAAACAGAACAATGGATAGCTAGATAAGTATTTAGAGGCATATAGATAGATGGATAGATAGATAGAAAGACAGAGAGAACAATGTATAGTTAGATAGATACATAGTCATCAAGACTTTGTAGCAAGTTCTCCATGCTTTTGGCGTAAACTTATGTTCTTACCATATGATTCGAAATTCGACCGCAGATTTTCAAAACAGAGTCTTACTTTTTTAATGTTACGTATCTGTACGTGTTTTTTTAAAATACGTTTCTTTATTGGCAGGAAGACGAGCACATACAATGTAGACATATCGATACATACACATAACAATATTTAATATGATTTTACACACATTACGGAACTATCAATACGTTATGTAATATCCCTAACATTATTTTGAGGACAAGTATGTGTTTTTTGGTTTTTTTATTCTTAATTATACATTTTTAAGCTGTTTTAAAAAGTTTTAAGACGTTTAACGTCTTTGCAGTTTTGAAATTTGAAGCATCTGAGAATTTTTGGGTGGTATTCCATTCCATAATAAATGTTGTGACACGGTGGGATCAGACGCTCGTCAGTTTTTGGGTATATTTCTTGGTATCATCTTAAATCTTGTTAATTTGTCTTGCTTTTGAGTATAACAATAATCACGTGTCTTAAAGAGACATATACTTATTTGTCACTGAAAGGGGCGAGGGTCGCGCCTCCTGTCGTCAGAGGTACAGCTGGTGAGAAAGTGGCTGTTAAAGGCTGGATCTTTCCAAAGCTGAGGTGTCCTTATTTTTTTCTGTGCTTTTGATCAAAGTTTTCCCTTAGTAAAATCCACTCAGAAATGTGTTTCTAAATGAATGTAACAGCCGCTGAACTAATAAAAACATTAGAAAAAAGAAAAAAAAGAAAGCTAAATAATTTTTTGGGGGGTACTCACAAAAAGATGTCCAACTGTAGGAAAAAAGCAAAATTCTTTGATTTCATCATTTACTTTTGTGTAGCTCCTGATTTCACCTCGGATGTTTTACATAGAGCTTTTCATATTCCCAGGGGAAGGCATGGACGGCTGTGATATCGAGCCTGTTGTATACAACGACTACACGACACGTAATGTGATGGTGAATGCAAAGACACCGTTGGAAACCGACACCGCGAGCACAATGATAGAGGTCATCGATGGAGTTAGCGACGCGGACATCGCCCTGCCTGACCCTAATGATGTGTCCTTTGGCTGTGAGTTGTGAAACAATAACAGCAACAACAACAATAATAAAGATAATGATTATGATAATAATAATAATAATAATAATAATAATAATAATAATAATAATAATAATAATAATAATAATAAAACAACAACAACAACAATAATAAAAATAATATTAATATTAATAATAATAATAATAATAATAATAATAATAATAATAATAATAATAATAATAATAATAATAATAATAATAATAATAATAACAATAGATTGCATTTATATAACACTCTGTCTCATACGAGTATAATCTCTGAATGCTTTACACCGATCACATGATCACTGAGCGTTACACTTCATTCACATAGGATAATATAAAATTTCACAGTAACAAGAACGCTAATTTTACTGTATAAAGAAGAAATTTTCAACAATACGCTAAGAAACATTAGGACAGCAGTAAAAAAAATAGATATCAACAATTACTTAATATACACAACAACTAAGAATTGAATAATAAATGTAGTCAGAACGGGATCAACACAGCGCTAACTGTTGCTTGTACAGATAAATTACTATTCTAGATTGTTCACTTCCGTCCGTTTGGGTAAAAAAAAGATCCATCTCATTTATTGTTTATTCGCCAATACGCACATAACCTCGCATGGAACTCCTGTATGCCACCGACCAAATAAAATGTTTATTTTTCTTGGATTTCTTATAAAATTTTTAAAAATTCGGTTGGTCCTCCAACATTTAGATTTGCATGCAAAGACCTGAGAATATTAAACAGAGTGCATCTGTTGTGCCCCCTTTTGAATCCTCGAACTCGGACAAAAGTGATCAAGCTATAATGTTGAGCTGTGAGTTGTCGTGAAGTCACCTCAATCTTTCTTTCAAATTGATAAACAAATGATTAAATCAGGACTAGAATGAGTTGGTTTAAAAGCAAAGCAAAAGATGTATAGGTTTTCTTCACTCTCGTGGACACAATTTAGATCAGTTAGGAGGCGGGCTTTGACCCTGCCTGTGAGGGCCACCTGGTTCTAGAGGGGCTCAATGTTCCAGTAGAAAGACCAAGACATTCGATCAAGAATTTTTCCCATACGAGAATTGAAACCAGGTCTACTTCGTGTGATGACGAGCACACAGCTGATTTAACAATTATGTCGGACAGCTCGATTTATACCATTTCTTTACTCTCTCTCTCTCTCTCTCTCTCTCTCTCTCTCTC